GAAGATCTGAGTTTGGGAGGTGGGGTAAGAATTCACTTTGAGCAAGAAAAGATGCGAAGACCCACTTCAAGCATCAGTTATTGAGAATCAGCAAGCAGACAAGAGATGCTTTCCAGGACAGAGCAGCGTTAGGCCAGACTGTGTGAGCATCCTCAGCCACCTGCCAGACAGCAGAAACACTTCAGCTCTGACTCATTTTTAATCTATTTCAGATACAAGTGCAAACCTATAATTCACCTTTTTTTTTTTTTTTTTAAATTAAATATTAAGTATTTTTACCAAAACCTAAATGTGTAAGAGAGAAACTTGGTGCACAAAATGACAGCATGATTAGAATCTTCCACAACAGTGCAGATGATAAAAACAAGACAAAATATACAACAACTTGAAACAAAGAAGACTTAAAGGGTCAGCAGCTGGACAAACCAACAGGACAATGAATGGAATCAATATATCCAACAAAGCAATCAGCATTCGAGCAGCCCATGTAATTTCTATACCAAAGATAAGCAAGGAAGAAAATGATAATCCAGTTGCTAACACTGCTTTTCAGGGGAGTTTGGGCAGGTACAGAGTGACAGCCATAAGAACCAGAAAGCAGGGGAGCCCTCCTACACTGCAGCAATCTGGAGCTGCCCAGAACGCAAAGGATATTAGGTGTGGGACCCAACAGTGCTTGATGATACTGGAAATGCAAACAGGGGATAATATCCTGTCATCTGTTGGGAAATGTACTCACCTACCTGAGAAGATAATCAATTGTAGTTAAGTGATAACATTTGCAGTCTTTGTAGGGTAAGAAAAGAGGTCGTGCAGCAAAGGAGCACAGCAGAACTGAACAGGGAGTTTAGAGAAGGAACGGGGAGGAGGAAGAAGCAGGCATTAAGGAAGCATTTCTTGCTGCCAAAACTTATTTTTCGACAGAGTACTTCCCCAGCTGAGCTCTGTTTTAGACAGTTTTGCACATTAAAACACCAGGATTTACCAGCAGGAAATGAACTGATGTTGATTTCCAGGTTACCTGCTACCGTTCAAGAGCAGGAAACACCTGGAATGGACAAACCCAGAGCTCCACACAGTGCTCACCGATGAAGGGATCGATGACGTGCCTCTTCTTCACCTTGGTTTCTGTGATGGCAGCATAATAGGCACAAGTCATTTTGATGAGCCAGGCTGCTCTCATTACTGGAACAGTGTATTTTGCCAAGTAGCCAAAGACCTCTTCCTTCTTGCTAAAGATGGGCACCTGTATCAGAACAAAGAGGGGGAAATCACAACCACAGATGTGGACAGGATCCACTCCAGTTCGACCCCGCACGCTGCAGGGATTGCCATCTGTGCAGGGGAAAAACACACCGTGCTGCTCTGCATCTTGAGGGAATTCACCTTTGGTCAGAAAGCAACAGCACGAGAGCAGCATTTCAGTATACACAAAGCCAAAGCAAAACGAAAGAAGACAGAAAACGTAATTCCATCACTAAATCCTTGCTGTGAATCCTGCAAACAGCTTTGAGGATCTCCTCCAGAGATGATGTAAACAACTACAAAAGGTACAGGGTAGGGACTGAGTCAGAAGCACAAGCATCTGCTGTATGAGGATAGATTGAAGAGAAGACTCTTCGTTTTGTAAACAAAATGGAATGGTTACGAAAGGCTTGTGATATCACAACTGGCCAACAGAAGACTGTGAGCAACAGGGAATCAAACAGCACAGTAGGAAGGAGTTCAGTAACCCAAGATTGAAAATTCAAGATTTTGGAGAATGTCAATGAAATCATCAAGCTGTGGATTTACAGAGCAGGAATTGATAACACGTCACAGAAAGAAGCCCAGCAGTGGAGCTCGCTTTCGTGGGATGCTATGGAGAGCAGAGGCATGTGTGTGTTCAGAGATCTGAGACACAATCAGAGAGCACAGACACACTGGGTGGACATTTCAAGTTCCCTAGAATACCAACTGTTGAATTGCTAACTCTGTGTTTCTTACATTCTTCCCGATTATTCTCCGCTGCCTCAAAGTCACAGACTGCTCAGCTACCAGCTGCAGCTGTTTTGTGCCTACATCCATCAAAACCAAAGGAGCGCAGTGCAGGAAGCTGGGAGAGAGCTCCAAAGTCTTACATTTTCACAATGACCTCAGGATATCGACAGCCAACATACAAAGAAAGATTTAAGTTAAGTTTATTAAGAAACAGGCTGTGGGGAAATGCAGTGATTTCATTTTCCCAAGACTGACTCAGAATTCAGGCAGGCTGCAGCTGCTACACTGTGTGCTCTGCCACTGTTTTGCAACTGCAGATTATGCTTTTCCACAGTACAAAGTGGATTCTTAGGCTCATGTTTATAGGCTCACCCTGAAAGACAGTCAGCTCTCCTCGTTGTCAGGCCCTAGAAAATGGCAGAGCAGGACCCTTCCTCTCCATTTTACAGAATTCAGGGCAGCCAAGGCAATACCTAGCCCCAGGTCCCACTGACCAGGAACACTTTGTGGTCTGCTCTCAGCCAGGCTGACACACAAACTCCTCTCAGCTTAAAAACAGAAACAAACAGCACTGCAACAGAAATCTGGGAAGTCAGAAATCTGACTATTTCCACTAATTCTTACTATGATTGCTGAGAACTTGGAAACCCCTCCTCACCTAAACGACAGACCAAAGGCAACAGCAGCTCTTCTGAAATAGATCACAGCTTTAAGGTGAACGGGTCACACCACACAAGCCAAGAGACAAAGCTGAACCCAACCTCCAAATAACAAAGGACCAGTTCTTTGAGTGAGACCACAAGCAGTGCTGCACACACCCTGGGGATGCTCTTTAAGCAGAACACTTTGAGAGATTTAGAAAAACTCTTCCAAATAACCATCAAATACTGCAACAGCAAGCACAGAGCCAGCGCTCTGCCCTCACAAGCAGCCTCTCCTGCAACGTACCTTCTTGGCGAGGTGAGTGAGGGGCTTTGTTCCAGCCAGATCTGTGAACCAGTTGTTTATGGCACTCTGTGAACGTGCTGTCACCAGCCAGAAGTTGTCCTTCTGATTCACCTGGGGTTTTCTTCTTCCTGTGTCAGGCAGCGTATTGCACCGCAGCTTTTCTGCAATAATACTGCTGAAATTTGAACTGATCTGGAGCAAGAAAGGGGAAAAAAAAAAAAAAGGATAAATTGTATCTTGTAGCTCAATGATCTTCTCAATGTGCTTAAGATTCCATCCGTGCTTCCAACCAGAAGCCTCATTAGTTACAAGCTTCTGAAACACAAAACAGCCGTTAATAATTTCCTTTGTTGTAATGAGAAGAATGCTTCATAGAATCATCAAGGCTGGAAAAGATCTCTCAGATCCCCGAGGCCAACCCCAACTCACCCCATCATGCCCATCCCCACGTCCCTCAGGGCCACATGCCCACTGCAATGGAGCACTTCCAGGGACAGTGACCCCACCAGGCTCTGGGCAGCCGTGCTGTGACCACTGCTCTCTTTTGCAGAAGGAACTTCCCCTAATATCTGTCCTTGCTAGCTGACAGAGAAACAGCACCCAGGTCAGAGAAAGGCAGGTAAGAGCTGCAAAGCCTTTTTTCCCCACTTGTTAGCAGACAGTTACTGTAAGAAATGCTGGATGCCAAGGCTGTCAGGACCAAGACAGGCGTGTGACACTTCCCACCGTCACAGCTGCTGCCCCAAAGCAAGAGGCCACGGCAGCAGCTCAGCAGGATCAGCTCCCCAGCCCCCCCTGTAAGGCAGGCGGGGCAGTTTTCGGGATTTTGGGAGCACGGAGCAGAAGGCCATTACGTAACCCCCCATTTTCCTCCCCCGATGTCTCAGGAACCCTCACATCTCCTCTCCCACGGCAACGACGCCAACAAACCCGGCCTGAAGAAGTTTCTTGCCGCCGCTCCCGCAGCGCCGTGTCGCGGGGCAGCTCACAAACACGCCGGCACACACGGGCCGCTCCGAGCCCCGCTCCAGCACAGCCCCGGGGGCTCGCTCTCACCTTGGCCGGGTTGAAATTGACGTTCTTGGCACTGCCGTGCTCGTCCCCGGAGACGGCGGGCTGGTTGTTGAAGCCCTGCTTCACGTTCAGGGCCGTCAGCTCATCCTGCGGGGGAAGGGATGAAGGGCGGTCAGCGCTGACACGGCCCGGCCCCGACCCCCGGCCCCGGCGGGCTGCCCCGCCCCGCGGCCTCCCCCCCCCTGCACCTCCTTCTGCTTGGGGTCCTGCGGGTACACGTCGGGCGGGCCGAGGCGCGGGCGTTTGAGCGGACGGTGCTCGTAGCTGAGGACGCCGAAGGCCGCCATACCGGGCGGGCAGGGCCGGCCGGGCCGCGACAAGGAACGCCGGGCCGCCCGACGATGCGCCTGCGCCGCCCGACGGAAGGCGGAAAGAAGCGAGCGCCGCCGGAGAGTCCCGAAGCCGTGCCGAGGAAAGGCGAAGAATGCCGAAAGGAAGAACGCGAGCCCGCGCCGAACGGAGGGCGGAAAGGGCCGAAGATGGCCGAGATGCCCCCGGCGCCCCCTGGCGGAAATGCGGGGACCACGTGATCGCGTTCCGACCCCGTTCCTCTCCCCGAGGCGGGCGGTGAATGCCCCCAAAAGCACCGCGACTCTCCCGGCAGTGTCCCCTCCCTTCAGTGCCCTCCCTTCAGCCATCGAATCATGGCGTCACCAAGGATGGAGAAGACCTACAAGATCATCCAGCCCACCTACTGCCAGTAGTTCTCACTAAACCACGTCCTGCACAACGACTAAACCTGCTCGCTGCCCATGTGTCCATGGAGCCGCCCAAGCAGCCCCCCCTGGTTGTGTCTCCACGTCTGCCCCCCGGGACAGCCCCCCCGGGTCGGGCTTTGGGCAGGGGATCTGCTCCAGTGAGGCAGCCCCATTGGGGTGAGGGGTAGGAAGAACCTCAGGGCCCTCGTGGGGCAAAAAGTGGGGCTTGGAGCCGTGGAGCTCAGCAGGAAGGGCGGTACGGCCCCGTCGGGGTGGGTGTTGCTGTGGCTCAGGAAGTGGCGGTGGTGCGGAAGCTGTGAGCCGCACAAGGTGGGCTGCACACCAAGCATCGCACCATGGCGGTGCCCGGGACTTCGCTCGTGCCCATCCTTTTGGGGCTGGGCATTTCCCTGGCCACTGCCCACAGCCCCGCAGGTAAGGAGGGATGGCTGCAGTGCTCTGTGGGTGGTGGGGATGGGGGAAATTGCTGCGCAGTGATGGTGGCTGAGGATGGGATGTGGGGCCACGTGGGCCTGCGTGACACCAGTGGTGTGTATCCGTGCTCCTGGCTCAGTGCTGCTGCACTGCTGCTGTCGCTGGCTCTGTGAGTGCCCGTCCTCCATGTGGGTATGAATGGCCCCTGTGGGGCCTAGCCGTTGGGGCAGCCTCGTGGCTGAGCATCTGGCTGTGATGAAAGCCCTTTGGATGCCGGGGGGCTGCAGGAGGGCTGAGTGAAGGTTGGATCAGCCCTGTGCGTCAGCCAGGCTGAGCTGTGGTCAGCAGATCTGCGTGGCCTCCATTTGCATTGCTGCGGCGTCAGCGGTGCGCACATATGCAGGGGATGGGGGTGGATGGCTCCTCTGTGCCTTCTGTTATCTGCTGGAAGCTCATTTCTTGTCTATTGATCACGTACCCAGTTTCCATACCAAAGCGGCGCTCATTTGCTCAGCTCCACCATTTGCTCTGCGTTAGAAAATGGTAAACACTCATTTCCTCTGGCAAAGCAGCTGAGCGCAGCATCCTGCCGTAACCACAGCGCTGAGCTCTGGGCTCCTCAGAGTGGGCTATGGGAGTTGAGCTGGGCTGTCCAGGGATCACTGAGGTGCTCCAGAACTGCGGGGATGTGGCACTGAGAGATGTGGCGATGGGCATGGTGGGGTGCACTGGGGTTGAACTTGGGGGGATCTGAGAGGTCTTTTCCAACCTGAATGATTCCAGGGGTGGAGTGCATCGTGTTCAATGAGGAGTACATGACCTGCACATGGGGCAGCGGGCAGATGCTGACGGCCAACTACTCCCTCTACTACTGGTGGGTGCCTGGGGCTGGAGGTTTCAGCTGCAGCCTCGTGGGGATGGGAAGCATTGGGATGGCTCTGGGAGGAGTGTGCAGGGTCCAAGGAGCACCGTCACTGCCGTGTGCAGGTATGAGAACAGGTCGCCCGCGGTGGAGTGCCAGCAGTACCTGTGGGAGCACGGTGTGCGCATCGGCTGCCGCTTCGAGCAGAGTGAGATCATCCAATTCAAGCCCTTCCACGTCCGCGTCAATGCCAGCCAGGATGGCCGCACCCTGGAGATCCCCAGCAATTGCATGGAGCTGCAGAACCTCGGTACGTGGTGGCGTGGGGACAGCCGTGGTCCTCAGGACAGTGGGGCCACCAGGCTGTGAGGACAGCGCTCACCGGGCACCTCCTTTGTCTTGCAGTGAAACCAGGGGCACCTGTGAACCTGACCATCCGCAACATGAGCAGCAACCAGCTGCAGCTCACCTGGAGCTCTCCCTACCCCAACGCGCACTGCCTGGAGCACGTTGTCAAGTACAAGAGCAACAAGGACACCAGCTGGATGGTGACAGCCCCCACACCGCGCCTGCCCCTGGCCACGCGGAGCCGGCCCTCACCACCCACCCCTCCTCTCTCTGCAGAAGCAGGAGGTGAAAGGAGACATCTTCTCCTTCCCCAGCGTGGACTATGAGAAATACTACACCTTCTATGTGCGCAGCAAGATCAACAACTATTGTGGCAGCACCCAGCTGTGGAGCGAGTGGAGTGTGCCTGTCTTCTGGGGCAGCAACGCCACCAGCAAGGGTAGGAGCAGTCCTGAGCCCCCAGGGTCCCCACGGCATCCCCACACTGTCCTCACAGTATCCCCCTGGCTTGTTGCAGGTATGGCAGAGGAGCAGCTGCAGTGGTTCTGGATCCACACGGTGCTGATCCCCATCGCCTCCTGCCTGCTGCTGCTGGTCCTGGTGGTGCTGCTGGTGCGCATGGAAAGGTGGGTGCATGGCTGTGCGGTGCGGGGCGGTGCGAGGCAGCCCCTCTAACAACTCTCTGCTCCCATGCAGGGTGTGGGTCATCATCATGCCCCGAATCCCCAACCCCAGCAAGAACTTCGACGATCTCTTCATCACCCACAATGGTGACTTCCAGGTAAGCTGGCTGCCCTGGCTCACCACACCACCCAGCCGGTGGCAGATCCTGACCCCTCTCACCCCGCTCTGTCCCTCGAGGAATGGGTCGGAGTCCCTAAAGATGTGGTGGAGAGTTTCAAGCCCAACTACAGTGAGAGCATCTGCCATGTGAGCGAGCTGCCCTACGAGCCCCTCCAAGACAATAGCACCCACCCGCCAGGGCTGCCTGGCCCCCAGGAGCACGGCCCCTACAAGAACAGCTACGTGGGAGCATGATGCTGGCACTCCTCTCCCAGAACACGCTGCTCCCTGTTCCCACCCTGCCAAGTGCCCAAGGAACCCCAGCCCTGCTCCTCACCATGGCTGCGCTCACAGCCTGGTGGCAGTGGATGGGAAGGGCAGCAGGCAGTGGCGGAGCCGGCAAGAGCCACCAGCCAGAGGTGAAGAGCACCGAGAGACACGCAAAGCGCCGAGAGCCACCCCAAGGGGACAAGCCACAGTGTCACCCCAGCTGCAATTGTACGCTGGGCATGTGTAAGCCTGGGCGTGCACAAGCCTGGCCACTTGCTTGCTTGTGCTGTGGGTTTCCAACTTGCAGCTTCCAGCTGCAATAAAGCTTTGCCGCGCTTTGGTCTTGGCCGGTCTCATTTTGGGTTGGATGTCAGGAAAACATTGTTCTCTAAAAGAGCAGTCAGGCAGTGGAATGGGATGGGGGCAGGGGGACATAAAGATGTAGTCATGGTGGTGTCCGTAGGGGTGTTCCAGAGTTATCAAGAGGCAGTACTGAAGGACATGGTTGGTGGGCATGTTGGGAATGGGCTTAAGGATTCCTAGAGGTCTTTTCCAACCTGAATGATTCTGTGATTCTATGATTTTGGGAAGAATGGGGGAAACTCCAGAATGCCAGCCTCCAGAACCCCCCTCCCACTTCACAAACGCTGTGGGGCAGCACCAGGCCCATCCCCACAGCAGCAGCATGTTCATCTACATCACCCACAGTGGTGAGTCCCCCACAGCCACAGGCTCATTCCGTGCCACCCCACTGGTGCTCAGGGTCCCCTTGGCCACCATTATTTCCCTGCAGACAACCAGAGTTTCCTGGCCAACACCGACTGCCCCGTGCTCCTGCTGCTGTCTCACCTGCGCAGCAAAGTGGGGGTCCCCCCCAGTGGTGAGCATGGGGGTCAGCGGGTGGGCCCACTGGGGTGGGATGCTGTGCCCACACAACGTGGCTTTTGCAGAGGCCGTCGACCTGTGTGACAAGCTGGGCAGCCCCAAGATGCTTTTCCAAGTGAAAACCATGCAGGACAGAGCCAGTGACTTCCTCCCGGCACGCAGCACCTACTATGTCTGTAGGGTTGAGTTTGGTGCCCCTGGTATGTGCAGGGTCTCATGGTCCCCATGGGCACCTCAGTGGGGACAGCGGGCATAATAGTGCATCCCTGCAGGCACTGCACAGGAGCAGACAGCACAGTCCTTTGTGCCCATCCTGAAGAATCCCAGCGTGGCGTTGACTGGTGGGTGAAGGGATGGGAATGCGTGAGGTGGTGTTCCCAGCCTGGGGCTGCTGCAGAACCCCCAGTCCCATTTCTGGTGCAGAGGCGTTGCGGCTGCACGGACAGTACCCACATCGGAAGCCGCTCCGTTCCTCAAAGACACTGGAAAGCAGGAAGGGACCAAGCACCGAGATGCTGCCCACTGCGGCCCACACTCTGGGAGCGGTACGGGGCAGTCGGCGGGATCGCATGGCACTGGGGCCACCCCTGGTTACAGGGACACCACTGGCCATAGGTCCAGTGTGATCAGGGTCCCATCCCACTTCCAGCACCCTGGACTGAAGGAGCTGCCCCGTCCTCACACTTGCTGTCCCCATGCCACATCACCCCCAACCCCCACCTTGGTTCTCCACCAGTGCTTGTCTCCATGCCACCATCTCTATCCCACTCCATATGTTTGGAGCACCATCCCTGGCCAACTTCATGGCCACAGCCTTATGTCCTACTGTCTCCATCTCCTGCCCGTGGCCAACATCCTCTGACAGCCCCATTCCTGCAGTCCCCATTCCCTGCCATCCTGTGCCCATATCCTCATGACCCGCTGCCCCCATTCCCATGGCCAGGTCCTCATGCCCCTTGTCCCCATTCCCTTGCCATCCCATGTCCACATCCTTGTGTTCCACCACCCCCATCCCCTTCCACACTCACACCCCATTCTCTGGCCCCTCCACACCCACATCCTCCTGTCCCATTGTCCCCATTCCCACGGCCACATCCCTGTGCCTCCTTCCCTCTACTGCCCACACCCCAGAGTCCCACCGTCCCCATCCTCACGCCCCTCACCCCACACTGTCCCCTACGCAGGGCAAGGCAGCAGGGAGAGGCGCATCCCGACCCCGGGAGGAGCAGCACGGTTCTCCCCGCAAGACCACAACGGCAAAACCACAATCGGGGGGGCGGCAGCAGCCGCGGCGGCGCTGAGGCCCAATAAAGCAGCGCTCCGCACTCAAGCCGAGATCGTGCTACGTGGCTTCGGGTCCGACCCACCCCGCCCCGCGGCGCCCCCTAGCGGTGGGGCATCCCAAGCCCAAGCCCTGCCCTGTGGGCGTGGCCTCGGCGCAGGACGGACGGGTAACTTTCCACCCCTGCCCACATGGCGCTACCGCGCTTCCGCCCCCTCTGGCTCCGCCCCAAGAGGGAGCTTGGGGGCGTGGCTTCAGCATGACCCGCCCCCCGGGGAAGGTGATTGGAAGAGGCGGAGCAGAGGCCACGCCCCCTCCCGGTCCGGGCTGCAGCGGTGCCCGGCTCGGCAGTGCCGGCGGCCGGGACTGGACGGGGCGGGCGGGGCTGGACTGGACGGGACGGGTCGGAGCGGAGCGGGCGGGGCAGTGCCGGCAGCGGGCAGAGAACATCGGCACGGCGGCGCTCGGCGCGGGCTCACCATGATCGTGTGTCCCCAGAGCGTGGAGCACCCCCGAGGAAGCCGGTGCCAGCGGCTGCCGGGGCAGGTAGGACCCGCCCCGCCGCTACCGGAGCCCCCACCGGACCCCGCGCTCGACTGTGCCCCGGTCCTGCCCGCAGCACCGGCCCTGCCCGCAGCTCGGCCGCCGCCCCTCCCTGGGCCGCGCTATGCTCGCCGTCCGCCGCCGGGGCTCGGGGCCGGCGCTGTCCCGCAGCGGGGCCCGGTGCCGGTGCCGGTATCGGTGCGGCGGCGCCGTCCCCTTTGTGCGGGATGCGGGAGGCGCCGTGCCTCCATCACTGCCAATCAAAGTTGTTTTTCTCTCTCCGCCTGCACTGCCCGCGCTGCGCACCGGGGGCGCTGCCGCCGCCGCTGCTCGCACAATGGGGCCCCGGTTACCGGCAGCCCTCACCGGTTACCGGCATTGCCCTCGAGCCCGAGACAGTGGGACAGGGGCTGCGGGAGGGCTGGCGTCACCGGCGGGGCGCAGGGAGCCGGGAGCCGCCTCGGGGAGGGGTCGGGGGGAGCCCTCCGGTGGGGTCCTGTGCACCAGGAGTGGGGGAGGAGGCGGGTTCCGGCCCCGACGGCTGCCGTCGAGGGGCAGCGGCTGGAACCGGGCGCTGGGATGCCCGGAAGGGGGTCGGGGACGGCTGGGGACGGCGAGGTGTGGCGGCACTTGGGTGTGAGCGGTGAGGCCGTGGGGATGCTGGAACAGCCCCAGTGCTGGGGGGGGGATGTGGGTGGGAGAGACTGTCAGGGTGGTGGGGCTGGATGGCAGCCCTGTCCCCATGGCCCACACGTGGGTATGGGGCTGCTCTTAGTCCTTCTGCACCCGGACAGAAGAAGCCATCACGCCTGGTGGCCCTGGCACCAAGCTGGGAAGCTCCATGCACAGCCAGGGCAGCTCGCTTCCAGCCTTTGCCCTTGAGATACAGAAGCTGGCATTCCTCATCCCCTCTTGGTTTTCCTTTTTTTGCCGTCCTTTGCCCTCAAACCAAAAACAAAGCTCCAAATGGCACCTGAGCAAAGCACTGACACCTGAGTGACTGCATTTGCTATCAGCAATGGTAGAAAATAGCCACGGCCGCATCCCGCGCTGCTCCTCCACGGGTGTGATGGACTGCAGCTAACCAGGCCTGACGCGGCAGTGATGGGCACCCGGGCTGGGCTCCGAGGGCATCCTCTCTCTGACTGCACAGGGACCCCCTGATCCCCTCCTGTGCTCCCACAGGTGGTGAAGATGTCTGGTGGCGAACCCGAGCGCCCTCAGTTCCTCTTTGTGAAGGCTCTGGCGAGCCGGGGCCGGCTGGAGGCAGTGACCCAGCAGATGGGCTACCACCCGCGCTACCTCGACAGCTTCCTGAAGACGCAGCACTACCTGCTGCACATGGACGGCCCGCTGCCCTTCGACTGCCGCCACTACATCGCCATCATGGTGAGCCCATCCCGGCGGCCCTCGGATTGCTCTGCAGAAGCCAACTGGTGGGGGTGAGGCGGCTGCTCCCCATAGGGCTGACGTTTGGTTCTTGCAGGCGGCCGCGCGACACCACTGCCGGTACCTGGTGAACCTCCACGTGCTGCAGTTCCTGCGGGCAGGGGGGGATCCCCAGTGGCTGCGCGGTCTCGATTTCATCCCCCCCAAACTGCGCAACCTCAACGAGATCAACAAGATCCTGGCGCACAGGCCCTGGCTTATCACCAAGGAGCACATCGAGGTAGTGGGGATGCGCGGGTCGGGTGCGGATGGGGTGCCCGCACTCTGCCTGCCCGCCGTGCATCGCTGTCCTGTCTGTCCTGCAGAAGCTGCTGAAGATCAGCGAGTGGAGCTGGTCGCTGGCAGAGCTGGTGCACGCTGTCGTCCTCCTGGCGCACTGCCACGCGCTTGCCAGCTTCGTTTTCGGCTGCGGTTGTGAGCAGGAGGAGGGGCCGGGGGGCAGGGGCTCGCTGAAGCCCTCTCCACCTGGGAACCAGTGCTTCTGCGAGGCCGCCATGGGGAACGGCTGCGGGCAGGAGCTGCTGCGCATCAACCGCAAAAGGGTGAGCCCCTAGGGTGGGACTGCGAGGATGGGGATGGCGTGGGAAGTGTCCCATCCTCACGGTGTGCCTTGCTCCTGTGCAGTCCCTGGACTCCTGCATGGAGCTGGACTCGCTGCGGGAGCGCGTTCAGAGGATCCACGTGGAGACTGAGGGCAGGGAGGAGACGAGGCCGCTGCCGCCAGACCGTGAGGAAGGTGAGGGGGTGCGGGATGGGAGCATCGCTGCCAGCAGTGCCTGGGAATGGGGCAGCACCAACCATCTGTGGGCTCTCCCCACTCAGATACTGACGGGGAGGTCACCGGTGCCGCCAACCTCGCGTGCTATCTGCAGGACCCTGACTTTGGGTACCAGGACTTTGCGCGGCGCGACGAGGAGCAGATGCAGGTATTCAGAGTCCAGGTGAGGCTCCTGCACTCTCCTCCTGTCCAGGGAGTGGGTGGGTGCTCATGGGGTGCCTACATGGCCCCAAAATGCCCAAGAAGAGCTCTGCCCCACCATGGGACTGAGGGCTGGGAGGCATGGTGACTGCTTACCTGTGCCCTCGAGGAACACTGCATGCCCCCTCTGGGCTGGGTGTGGGTTGGCACTGAGGTGCTGGTCAAAATCGTTCCCAAGCTGCTTGGTGAGGGATGCTGTGACTTGTGGCAGAGCAAACCCTGTGAATTCTGCCACATCCTGAGGTCTTTGACAGCCCTTTTTCCCAGAAACGTGCCTCGAAGTCTTTTCTGCAGTGGCAAAAGCCTCTTGCTGTGTTCAACAGGATTACTCCTGGGAAGACCATGGCTTTTCGCTGGTGAACCGGCTCTACTCTGACATCGGGCATCTCCTGGATGAGAAGTTCCGCATGGTGGATGGTCTGCAGAGCAGTGCCATGGCCAAGCGGCAGGGCTGCGAACCCTCGGTCTTCAAGCGGGGCATCTGGAACTACATCCACTGCATGTTTGGCATCAGGTAACGACAGCAACCTTGTGGTCCAGGGGAAAAAGCCATTCAATCCAGGTGGGAAGAGAGTGGGCTTCTCCTGCTGTGTGCCCAGATGTGTGGAGGTGTTCTTGTGCATGGGCTTGGAAGAGACATAATGATGCAAGTGTACAGGCTGCCCAGGGAGCTGTGGTGCACCATCCCTGCTGGTGCCTACGGCTGGGCTGAATGGGGCCCTGGGCAGCCTGAGCTGGTGGGAGGCACCCAGCCCCTGGCACGGGTGGGACTGGGTGGACTTTAAGGTCCCTTCCAACCCAACTGCTCTATGACTATGCATGGCTGCTGCAAGGTGCTGCACAGATGGGGCTTCGGTGCTCAGTGGACAATGTTATGTCCCTGCCCCATGGCTGTGACATGTCCCAGATGGACCACAGGACAGGTGTGTGGTTGGGGCCAGGTGCTGGCTGTGACTGCCCCGTGCCCCCTGCAGGTACGATGACTACGACTATGCAGAAGTGAATCATCTACTGGAGCGAATGCTGAAAGTTTACATTAAAACGGTAACCTGCTACCCAGAGAAGACAAACCCAGAAATGTTTGACAGGTTCTGGAAGCAGTTCAAGCACAGCGAAAAGGTAGGGCAGCCGCTGTGCCTCAGAGAGGGGTTGAGCAAGAGCTGAGGGTTGGGATGCTCAAGGAGAAGAAACCTTTAAGCCACCAAATGAGAGCAAGGGAAAAATGGAAACAGGCTGTTCGTAAGGAGTTGGGTGTGATGTGTTGTGGCACAGGGCCACCAGCAGCATGGGGAGCTGAGAGGTGGTGATCCCTTGGTGGGCAAGCCCTTGGTCTGGCTGTAATCTGTAGCAGTGATGTGCTGATGCCCAGTGTGCTAGGAGCTGCCCAGGACACAGCTCTGGCAACAGCCACAGGCTGCAGGACAGGAGGGGGAAAGTGCATTTGCCCATGCTGGAAAACCTGAGAGCGTTTTGTCCTTTGTCAAATGACTCCTTAATCTGGGTGGGTGCTTGCTGCATGAGCTTCTCCTGCTTCTCCTCTAGGTCCACGTGAACTTGCTCATTCTGGAGGCCAGGATGCAGGCAGAGCTGCTGTATGCACTGCAGGCCATCACCCAGTACATGGTCTCGTAGGCGGTGGGAGCTGCGCTGCGGCAGGGCCGGGCAGCATCCTCTCTCCCTGGACTTGTGTGTGACCCGTCGTGCTGGGACAGACGGCGAGGGATGACTCCATTTAGTTTACTTGACTGTCTTGTTCCTTCTATTTTTTTTTTTTTTTTCCCTTGTGGGGCACGCTGAGTGGCCCTGTTACGTGCAATTACCAAACTGTGAGGCAACTCCGTGCTGCTGAGATGTTGGTGTGATGCTGAAGACTTGAACCTCTCCATGGAGGACCGCCAAAGACACGGGTGGGGTGTCAGGAGGGGACCAGGCTGTGTTGGAGGGTTAGGATGAGCAGCAGTTCCTCACCCTGTTCCTGCAGGAGCTTTGCTTTCTCCCCTGTTGACAGCCTCCATGGAGGCAACATCTTGCTTAGGAGCCAGGTGGGT